GTATCCCTAGCCGGGATAACGGAAATAAAATAAAACGAGATTCTACGATTCAATAAAAAGAGTTCAAAAGTATAAAAATGTATAGTCTATACAGTGAGTAATAACTGAATAATTGTGCTTAGATATAAGCTCACTTCGAATTCCTTATTCTAGGCCAACTGCTCCGTAAATTTGCACACCCTTTCCTATAGGGCATGCACAATATACAATTCAGAATCAGACCCAGACTCAGTCTGGTACTCTCGTGCTGTTTCCACTTTAATACATCATTGAATGGAAAACGGAATGAGCATGCCAGACACCTGGCTCCCTTGGGCTCTCAGTACCTTTGTGAATTTTTACCTCCGTACCGCTGCCGCTGGCTTGCTTTTCCCTTTAGCCTTCGGCTTGCTCTGGGTGCCCATGCCCATACCCATGCCCAGTTCTGAAGGAGGAAAGAGGAAAGGATCAACAGTTTCTGGTTATAGTTTCGGCTACAGCTGCCGCCGTCACTTCCGTGCCACGCGAGCGTCACACTTCGGGCGAGTGAGCGAGAGGTAGCAGAAAAGGGAGAGGGATATAGGCGACCAGCCATATAGAGGGGATATACGTAGAGGGTTGGGGCGGTCGGTTATAGCCGAAGTTTCGGGGCAACTCGCTAGGCAACGCCAAATAGCCCTTGGCAAGCTGACAAGCCGAATGGCGACTGCAGCCAGTGGGGTGTGCATTTTAGATTGGGCCAAGAGGAGTTGGGCGTAATACCCACCCAAAAGCCAATGAAAAAAATATAGGGGGAAACACCCAAAACAGCTGGGCCAGCTGCAGCACTTGTAGAGCATTTCCTGCTCCTGCTCCTGTTGGCTGTTGGCTGTGGGCTGTTGGTCCTGGCAGCTCCTGAAACTCCTGCTGCTTTTTGCACGCTCGCAAACGCGCTCAACTGAATCCCCGCAACTGGGCTGCGGTGCACCTTTCGTACTTTCGTACTCTCGGACACACACCCCCACTCAAAACTAAATAAACTAACAAATTTCAACAAAAATTAATGGGTTGACCAACGAAATACCCTTCTAGATTTGTGTGCAGATACCATATGAAAACTTTGAATAGCACCCTTACTTATTATTTAACAAATACTAGATACAAAATGCTGTTTGCTTTAAATAAATGGTTTTGCTAGTGTTTGCTCTATATATAGGTATTAAAAAATACTTAAATGATTTGGGATGCACATGTCAGATTATTTTTAAAATTTAATTATAAAGAAATAAATTAAAAACATTTCAGATTCCTTTTACACTACACTATAAGATGTTCTAATTATATGGCCAAGTTTAATAATATTCTTCAAAATTGCGTTCTTCTTTAATATCAATATTTTCGTAAATATATAATTAAGAAAATATCAAACACTTCCTACGATATCTTGAAAAAGGCAGTTAAGGTCAAACATAGGCTAATTAGTAGAACGAAAAAAATGTCCTTAGACCTGGTCAATTAAAATGGTCATTTAGATATAATTATAATCAATAGTACCAACAGCAACAGCGGACATAACCGATCAAGTACTTGGCCTTCTAGACCCTATATTCTTTCTGAAAATGTGTCAGAAGCACCACCCCTGGCAAGCCTTTAAACCCATTTGAAATACTCCCTCGCAGGGTATAAAACAAGGAATAAACAAAAACTAATAGCTGCAAACTTAGCACACACACCGCACTGCTCGTAAAACACGAAACAGGAAAGGCTGTCGCTGCATTAACCATATTGTCCTTGTTCCAGGTGAGCGCGCCCCATTCCGCCCATTCCGTAGTAGTCCTTTCTGCCGGCTGCATAATTTTGGTAGCCGCTTTTCCTCTGCAGCCAGACTATTCTACATTTTCCTGTCGTGACGCGTGGCCAAGTTCCGATTCGCTAGCCAAAGTGAAAGCCATATGCCGTAGAGCTTGAATCGCCTCAGTGGCTCACCATCTGCAGTTCCCTTCCGGATCGAGGTTGGAATTGGAATATTCAGAGGGGAGGGAGTGTGCGCGTGGCCAGCGGCGATCTAGGGATCGAGGTCCTATATAGTGGGTCCTAAATTCTTGAAGGAGGCGGAGGGCGTGACTAACGAAGCGCAACAATTTCGTCGTGGGCCGCATAAAGCGCATCTTGTTCGGAATCGCCTTCAAGTCTGTTGGCTGGAAAAGCAGATTACCATTTACGAGGAGCAGTGTGCCAGGCGAGTGGTTTTGTCACCACCTCAAGAAACGACATGCACAGAGAAAAATGTCTACTAAAACTGCTAACCTTTTGGTTTTAGACGAAATTATAAAAATTACTGCTAAAAAATATAACCTAAACATTGATATAAAGGATCGACAGAATCTGAAAATCAAAGTGCAAAAAATATTTCTCTAAACATTTTTTGTAACAACATTTAAAATATATTCTAAACGTCTTTATTTTTGGCCATTCTGAATGTAAAAAAAAAACGGGTTTTAGAATAAATAAATTTTGAGTTTCTCAAGTATTTACAAATAAAATAGAAAGTTGTTAGGTCACAAAATAGTAAGTAATAAAATCAGATAAAATCAGAAATCACTTAGATCAGATGGTGGCTATACCTTTATGTAACATTTAAAGGTACAAATATGTTTAATTTGTAAAGTAAGTTTTCATTATTTTGTTTAGTTAACAAATAATCATTAAAATTAAAAACGTTTTTATGAAAAGAGAATCCTGTGATTTGTACCATAAGCTTGATTAAGTTATAAATACTTAGTTGCTTGTTAACTAAATGTTTTATTTGAAACACACAACCTACCCAAAATAACACCAAAAACTTAACTATAATACGTTTCTCACAGTGCAACCTGGGTGGGGTTGAACTAGGCATATTTAGGGCTTCCACTGAGGTGAAAGGCGTAGGGCGAGCCCAATTTTTTTTTATAATTAGTGCAGTCGAATTCCACAGATGGTATGTACGTTACTTTAGCATTAATATTTACATATCGTTCATTTTCAAGGAAGGCCCGAGGAGGTCCTTATGGCTTGTCACTCCGCGAGATGGATGGACAGATAGATCGGTGGGCACTTCTTGGTTTTCCTCAAAAAATTCAAAATAGTTTAAACAAGGAAACCATAGAAGGAAAGGTTACATCTGTTTCGAGTTTTCGATGGCGTGGGGAGCAGGAAGTGGGTTGAACAAAGGACCTCGGGGATACCATAGTAAGCCGAATGAAATTTCCAATGAAAAGTATAATTTTTAAAGGACTGCAACGGCTGCAGAAGCAACGCTAAGCTTGTCTGAGGCAGACAAATTGTCTGTTGTCGCTGGCTAATTAAAAGGTTAAGAACTTTGTAATTTAAGTGTCTGATTATGCAAAGCTTCTGCTCCCCGTTCAGCAAACCGAAGCTCCACTTTAATTAATTAGTTTTGTGTGTGTTGAAGTGACTGAGAATGCGAACAGATTGTGTGTATATGTTTGTTACTTCTCAAGATTTTGAAGGGATATTAGAGCGAGTAATAAATATTCAGCAAAATCTTTTAAACTTTCCGTTAATGACTATATGTTTTCAATATGCAATAGTTTTTCTGTCATTATAATAATGCATTTGGAAATGTAAGTTAATAAAGCGGTGTTTCGATTTTAAACAACCATATTTGTAGCCCAAAAAAATGTTTCTAAATTTATTTAATTTAAGTCTTTTTTTTAATTATATAACCTATTTAAAATTACAAATGCTTAAATTTTATATTTTTTCTTGTTCACATTGTTATTTATAAAATTAATTCTTATTGATGAATTTGTCCAAATTTAGTCTTTAGGTCTTCAACTTAGCTCAGAGTCCTAAGAAATTTATTTATTTATTAATATCAACTCAAAGCAATATCCAAATAGATATCCACAAATATAATTGGGTAGACCTAACTATCATAGGATGTTAACCCTAGTTTTTCGCCCCGAAATCGAGTTTAATTCATCCTGGGAGTGTGGCATATGACACATCCAGCTGTCAATCAAAACCAACTCGGCAGGAGCTGCAATTAATCATCCAACGATTTGAGTTGCCGCACTCATATCCGACCTCTGTGATCTGGAAAGTAAACCACTTATTCATGGCCAGTGGAGAGTTGGCAGGGGGACTGAGGGCGGCAGAAGTTAGTTTGTGCTGTTTATCTTGTACTAACTGAGTTAGAGCCAAGGACCAGCGACTGTTGCATCCCCTCACCCCTCACTACTATATATATATATATATATATGGAAGTACACCCCCTTGTACCAACGAGTCGCTGGCAATTTGTTCAAAATCAGAGCCAAGCAACAAATGCAATGCAACAGCAATTAACTCGGCACAACTGCCACATTCTGGGCGGAAAATCCACCCCGTGAATGGGAGCCTGAAGCGGCCAAGAGCCGCGAGCCCCGAGCCGAAAAAGTTCCAAAAGGGCCAAAGAGCCATGAGCCAATTCTCAGGTATGGTATGGTAGGTATGGTATGGCTGGGGGGCCCGAAAGAAAGGCACAGAGCGGTAGTAAGGGAGAAATGGAAAGAGAGAGGCGCAACAATTTTGAAATCGGGAGAAAGCAACAGCAGGGAATGTTTCGGCAATGAAACACTTCCTGATTGTTGCCTCTGCTGTAGGGACGTTCTGAACTGAACGATTTCGTTAGAAAATTTACAAAAGCTCTTCATTTAAAGGCGTTTAGTGGGTTATCCTTATCTTATAAATCCCCCTCTAATATGGTTTTAAGCTTTTGGAAAGTTAATCTATCTTAATATCCCATTTAAGTACGTTTTTTATTTATTCCAACGTTTGTGGCAGCCCCCAGGACAAGCAACAGCAATAGCAACAGCTACGCTTCCTTTTTGGGGGTTGGAATTTAGGGGCTGTCCCGCTCCCAAGCGTTCCGCTCTCTCACTCTCTCGCTCGGTCATTCGTTTCACTTCGGTTTCCTCACGAAGGGGTTCGGCTTCTTTAGGGGGTGGACACCCTTATAAGCAGGCTCTCGGGCAGTACGACTCTCATAAGCATTCAAGAGTTGCTTACGTTCGGTTCGTTCGCATTTCTTCTCTATCTTATATAATATTATATTTTCTCCTAAATCAATTTTTTCACTACCAACAACAACAACAATAATAACAACTCAACTATTCTCAACTCGCGTCAACCTTAACTTAACTTTCTCAACCAAAAAAAACTACAACTCTACCACTAAAATTCTGTCAACTTTCCGTTTTGTTAAACTGAAACTCAAAACAAAACATTTAATTTCGACTCGACCATCGAACAAGTTTTGTTTCCAAAAAAAAAAACCGACGAGAAAATCGGCAGCCAAAAATAAAGAAAGGATACCCCAAAAATATATATAAAGAACCCCCCGTTATGTTTTGAGTCCAAAATTTCGTGTTAAAAACAAACGTAAACGTAAACGCAAATGTAAAAATCGATAAGCCACACGCAGCCAGCCAACTGAACGCGAACGTGTCCGTGTGTGTTCCGTGGAGCTTTGGGGAGAAAACGGGGGGAACTGACCAAAAATCGGTGGCCCTGGCCAAAAACGCAAAAACTCCGGCCCAAAAAAAGAAAGAAAGAAGCGAGAGAGAGACGAAACTCCAGCCCAAATGACGGATACGGGTCTGACAACGAATCAAGCGCCGAAATGTGTGAAGTGGCTGTGAAACCCGAGGAATCCTAACTGAAAAACCAATTTACAATAACATGCAAATTATTAAGAATATTTAACCGACACACAAACACACTCACACAAACAAACGGAGGGAGATCTGGGATAGCAGAAATGCCAGGCCTGCGAAATCCCAACAAGCTGTACGACTAAAACTTTAAGAGATCTTTCGGCGAGCCAAACTCTATATACAATATATATATTTTCACATGCGAGATAACAACAGCAACGTTTCCTTTCCGCTTTTGCCACAAATTATACCCCCTGAGACGGTCTTTGCTCGCTCGAAACTCGACTCTAGCTTCAGCACTTAGCCCTCTAAGATCTTACTGGATCCCCAGCTCCTAGCCAAACAAAAACTCTAACCTCAACTAAAAACCCAGAAAATGCCGCGCTGCCTGATAGCCAAAAAGTGGAAGGCGTATCCCTGGCTGGATCGCACGGAGGATAATAACAACCAGCAGCAGCAGCAGCAGCAGTGCAACACCACCTCCTCGAGAGAACTGGAGGAACTGCATCACAAGTCCAGACGCTCCACCTTGGATGAGGACGAGGAGATCGATGTGGTGGGCGACAAGTTCCTGATCAAGTTGGAAAAGCAACGCACAACAGCAGCAGATGCAGCAGCAGCAGCCGCCGCAGCAGCAGCAGCAACTTCTATCGAAGCAGCAACATCGCACAGTAGCAGCAACATCGAGCCAACGACGACGTCCAAGTGCTGGGGCCCCAGTTCACCCACGGCGGGCACCACGGCTCCCAGTCCGCCGCCCCACTCCCCGGAGGCGGCAACCCGAGTGGCCGGCAATGTTTACAACGGTAAGTTCGCCCCCGGGAAAGTCGGGAAAGCAGGGAAAACGGAAAATCGGAAGAGCCAAGGGAGGCGCACGTAATCGCTGTCATTGATGTGGCCATTGTGCGATTGCGAAACAATTCCGAATCAATTTAATTGCCTTTGTTGTCACTCAATATTGTTTGCAATTCCGGCCATCGGGCCGCAGACCCTCGCCAAATGCCAACTCGGTTTCCCCTCGGCGTGAAAACACTGGCAAATAGCAAAATTAAACCGTTGGGCCGGGTCCTTCGTATTGTTAGAATATGTGCCTGTCAGAGCTTTTTACGATGTACAATTGGAAAATTAATTATTCAGTTGAAATTAGAAATTAGACATAGAGTCAAAATATACAGCTATTCCTGGTATCCTTAAATGAAGACGTTGCATGGGTTGAATGTGTTTATCGACTAAACTAAGGGATTTTTTTTTTGTTTTTTTATGGAAATTTAAAAGTCTACAGAAGTTAGTTTTCTGTGGAAATTGAATTTCACTCAAAATATATACATACTTTTGGCACCTACGAAATAGCTTAACTTTGGCAGTGTCCTTATGATATTTAAGTTGACCTTTCAAAGTTTGCCCTTGGATTATAGAAATTAAGCGCAGAGGAGTCATAAAGTGGAACTATGTGGCTGTCCTTCAGTTTGCGATAAATGCTATTGTTTAAAGTTCTTGAAAAGAAAAATTAAAGAAGTACAAAGGATACATGTTTCGACAGCTTATAAAAAAGAAGAGAAAAAACTTTTTATATTATCAAAGTTTATACAGCAATGCGTCTAAAAAGTTCGAGTTTAATTTTGTAATCTACATAAATTGATACATTTTAGTCATAAAGTATTACATTTCCAATTTTGAAAACCAAGTAAAGAACGACTTATAATGTAAAAGCATCACCTTTAATGGGGTTTGGGTTCATTTTTAAGTTTTCCACACTTCAAGAAGGGATTTTGAATAGACCGCCTGCTTTACCAAAGTTCTTTAACTGCTTCCAAATAGAGTTTAACCCATTATTTCCCCCTTTCCGTGTCGATTTCAGGCTACACCCGCGAACTGTCGCCGCTGCACTACACCGCGTACCTGCCCCGCATGGAGAGCGGGATAACCGTAATCCGTGCGGCGGCCACAGCTCTGGTGGCAGCCGCGTCCGCCTCCTCCGGAACCGGAAATGGGAATGGAAATGGAGATCAGCACCTGGCCGCCTACCAAACGCCGCCCTCGTCCACCACTTCGTCACCCTCCTGTTCGCCCAGTGACGCCGGCGATCGCTACAGTCCGCTCTCCAGCGGTCAAACCTCCAGCGAAAGGAAGTGCTTCAGTAGCACGGGTGCCACACTATCCCTGCCGCCAAAGAAGAAGGACATCTACAGGCCGTACTCCTTGGATGACAAGCCGGCGCATGGCTATCGGCGAAGGATTCCGGCGGAGGAGGACCTGCATGCAGCCCATGCCATCCTAGATTTGAGTGCCAGCACAGCCTTCCACCCGCCCACTCAGCCTCACCAACTGCAGCAGCAGCAGCAACAACAGCAGCAACATCAGCACTCCCAGCAGCAACACCTTGCCCCGCAGCAACATCATTATTTGCCACTGCAGCAGCAACAGCCGCAGCAGCAGCAGCAGCAGGCACACCACACCCACTTGCCAACTCTCGAGGCGCATGCGCATCTGCGCAGCACATCATCGATTGCCGAACTGGCTGCAGCGGCCAGCGTGGTAAATGAGCAACGCCCCGCCAGCAATGCCTCGAGCTCCAGCAGCAATCACATGCCCAGCAGTCCCAGCAGCAACTCGAGCAGCAGCAGCAGTCAGGTGCAGAACGAGAACAGCAACACGACGAACACGAATCAGGATGGGGAGTGTGCGATGGATGGGGAAAATGGTGGCGCCTCTGGAGCGTCGGCAAAAACGGTAGCCTACACCTACGAGGCCTTCTTCGTCAGCGATGGTCGCTCGAAGCGGAAGCATGTGGCAGATCCTGCAGCTGCAGTGCCCACTCCCGATCAGCAAAAGACCAAGTACACCTGCTCCGAGTGCGGCAAGCAATATGCCACATCTAGTAATCTCTCGCGCCACAAGCAAACCCATCGCTCACTGGACTCGCAATCGGCCAAGAAGTGCCACACCTGTGGCAAGGCCTATGTGTCCATGCCCGCCTTGGCCATGCATGTCCTCACCCACAAGTTATCACACAGTTGTGGCGTCTGCGGCAAACTCTTCTCGAGACCCTGGCTGCTCCAGGGTCACCTGAGATCCCACACTGGCGAGAAACCCTACGGATGTGCGCACTGCGGCAAGGCCTTTGCCGATCGTTCCAATCTTCGAGCTCACATGCAAACCCATTCGGTGGACAAGAACTTCGAGTGCAAGCGGTGTCACAAAACCTTCGCCTTGAAGTCATACCTCAACAAGCATTTGGAATCGGCCTGCCTGAAGGACGAGGAGGAGCTGATGATGTCCATGTCGCTGTCGATGCACGACAGCAACAGTGAGAGTGGGGCAAGTATGGCCTCATCTCCGCCCCACGAATTCCTCGAGCGCGTAAAAATCGAGGGCAGTGCAGGAGCCACTTACGCCATGTAAGCATGTAACATAAATAAGGGTGCAATGGGAATCTCTAGAGTTCTAAAACCACTATATGATCCGGCCTGAAGAACCAAAATGAGGTTCGGAGCGATTAGAGATCTCTATTGCATCCTGGATACGAAAAAAAAAGAGGATGGATGTGCTGTAACTGCATAGCTGGTTAGTTAATTTACCGTTAATGTTAAAGTTACCGTTACCATTTACAACTAGGTTAACCGATAGCCGTTTTTATAGAAGATACATACATCACAATACGTCCAAGAGCAAAGTGTAGTAGAGTAACACAGAGACTGTAGAAATTCGCATTAGGCAGCCAAGCAACAAAATACTCAATGGGGGTTGTCCCGAAATCTCTTTGGCGGCTTCAAGTCTTCTCTTTTTTAAGGTGCCTCCAAAAGTATGTAAAGGAAACTTCTAAGTTGATTGAGAGATATCGGGAAAACCCCCGTGTTAACCAACTCAAAATGGTTCTTCTTTTAACTTAAGTGAGTTGAACATTCCTAAAACCCAACACACATTCCACGAAAAATAACACACCCCAAAAACACACACAGAGAGCCTTGTGTATGAGGTGGTAAAGCCACATGCATTCCGAGAACCTGAAGAAATCTAAGCAATTCTAGCAGCTATCTTATATCTATCTAACTACTTACCAAACGAAAACAAAAACAAAAACACACACATAAGAGTACTATATTTAAATGCATATATAGAGTGTACTATAACCTGTAGCGAAACCAAACGAACGTTTTAATCTACCACTCTCTCCAACTAACTCTCGAAGAACACTCTCCTCTAGCTAACTCTAAACTCTTACTCGAACAATATCTCTCTACTCTATCTCTATCTCTTTAATCGACAACGTTGACGACGACGACGAAGTGATTAAAATTAATGCAACGAATACAAAAGCAAATGCAATGTTTCTCAAACAACGAATTAGGACTTAAGGGCAGCCTATCTATAAGCAGTAATTACGAGTGCTAGCCACTAAGCAATTTTAAAGTAAGTCACACCAATGCGACATTTAAGCACTCAACAATTTTTAGATTCGATATAAAAAGACAACGATACAAATTAATCAAAAAGCAAGCAACAAAAAACGAAACGCAAAGCAATATTTAGTCGGGGATGCGAACCGGTTCAAGTGGGAGCGGTTCACGAGCGAATGTTAACAAACCGAAACCAGAAAACCAAGGACCAAGTTAAACTCCCCGAGAACTGGTTGTGTAAGCCTCATATTAATCCTTGTAGAAAGCATCACGATCACGTTTATATAGGTCATGTCCCCCCATTAGTTCACCCAAAATCATTTAAGGCTAGAAGAGCATTGCAGAAATCACAGAGGGCGGTTCGAATCCGTTATTTTTGGGCGTTTTTTTCTCTGTCAATTAGCACTACTACCCAGTGAAGTAGCCCCTACAATTATTTATTTTAGTCGTAAGAAGTGAACATCTAGTCGCTGTTTAACAGCAAACTCACTTATTTAATACTAAAGCCATTCCCAACAAGCATTGCATTCCGTTCAAAGCCCAATTTAGGAGTACAGTCAGCGAATAAGACCAAAGAAATCCGGGATATTCCATCCCCAAGTATTCGATCGCATAGAACGAACCCCTCAATCGCAGAACAGAAAATATCGAGTGTGATCTAGTCTCAAGCATTTAACAGTACACTTCGTCCATGCGTGAATAATACTTTTGCACCTTTCGACACTTAACCGACCTAGTACGATATTACTTAGCCCTATATTATGTAACTGTAACTCATATTCATTCATCCAATCATTTACTCGTTCATCTTCATACTCACACAAAACACACGAGCTCACACAAACACTCAATCGCTGCACAAAACTGTATATATTAGGCTATAGCATACACATCAGCATTATAATCATCAACTGAAATCAGCTTCAGCAACCGATCTCAAAGAGGAAGAGGGGAAAGAAGTGCAACGAACATTTTGTAGCCCTAGTCGTAGCCAAGTTTAGATGACCCAAAACCAAAGTTGTTGGTATTTCTAAGCGGGTAATCGGGGAGTATAGAAGATATATACATCTAGAATACGTATGTAGTTGCGTAATATTTACAAAGCATATATTATATACAGCTAGGGTTAGTCTTCAGACATGTACTCTTAAGTTAAACTAGTAAGTATAATCACGAAATTATTTTTATACTGTTGTTCGGAGGAGGGAGCGTCGGACGAGAGAGATGGCAACACTTTTAAGGAATAATATTAATCGAATAATCGAGACGAAATCGCAATCGGAATCGACTAAATCGGCTAAAGTACCAAAGCAAATACTCAAAAAAATAAAAAACCCCTGCAAACCGCAAGACAAATTACAATTATTTCAATTACAACTACAATTAATTATATATAATATATAGCGTTATCTAGAATGTAGTCAACTATTATTTATGTATCGTTTATAATTTACGGAAGTGAGAAATGTAATGAATATTTATGAAATTTGCATTATGAAAATGTTGAATTGAATTGAAGCCCGGCAATAATATTAAATTTTAAAAATTTTGTATAACAATTGTAAAGAAGGCGATGGAAAGTAAAGCAATAACTTAACTAACAAGTTAATCGATTTATTAGTCTTAAAGAATACTGTAAGGTTGGAACTACTTACAATTAGCTATCGAAGCACACTTGTATAAACCAAAAACAAAACAAATAAGTAAACGAGAGAAGCAATTATAAAGTTACAAATATACAATACATATTAAATAACCACACATTTTACAAGCGAAACAATGTTTTTTATTTGTAAACCAATTTGGAGTTTTTATTATTTCCACTGGCTTATGTTGCTGAGTAATTTTTGATGAATATAAAACGACGAACCCAAAGCAATTCGAATATTGTGATAGTCCAAATACACACTAACAATTTTCAGAACTATTCATTAATTTTGCTCAAAGAAAGAGAGCAAACGAGAAATCCAATTGAGCTCCAGAAACTTTTAATAGAAATAACGTGTATCGAAAAGCAATAAATCGTAGTGGTAAAGATATAATAAGGGGGTGCATATTTTAAAACTTGTAATAGAAAATTCACGTGGAAGAAGAATTATTACATATAACCCCAGGCATATATATTTGGAAAAGCTTAAGTCCAAAATTAAATTTTTCTGTTGTTCCAATCACGCACATACACAAAGAACCCAGATCATGACGTATTGTTAAACCAAGGAAATTGTTAAAGTTGATACATTAGTAGCTTAGTAGAACCCACACATAAATAAACCCTGTACAGACGCATAAACGGAACCAGCGCAACGCGAAATGCAATTGTTGAATTCAGTATTTGTAGCATTAGGTTCATGATCCATTGTTTCCATTATCTGTTGCTGACACCACCCCCTCGGAAAACACCCATGGCAACACAATGTTGTGTTGTCCTTTTTGTGTCAATGCAGTTTAACGAGCGCTCGTTAGGCGAATGCGAACAAAGGGAAATGTAATAAAAAAGCAGGCGAATAAAAAGGGGGATATAGACCACCCCCGCGGAAACTGGTAAAAAAAAATACAAGGGGGTGTCCTTGCACGCATTTAATTCGAAAAAATTTAATTTGCATAGTTTGCGTTGAGCGTGATTTATTTATTTACCAAATCAAAATCGCAAAAACACCACCACCTCCACATGTATAAATAATTGAGCAAAAAATATAAAAGACTTGGCACGTTAACACTAATAATTCAAGAATTGAACATAACTAATAAAGTCATGAAAATTATATAAGTAGCTGACAACGAATAAGCAAGCGAGAACAAAAAATGAAAGACTTAACACTTTGAATATATATTATAATGGAGAAAAAGCTATACTTATTTACAGCTATTGTATTGTATATGGTATAATCATAGTAAATCGAAAGCAAAAGCAATTAACAAAAGAAACAAAAACGCAGAACGAAAGCAATAGAGCATTAAGGTAACTAAAAAGTATTAAATCGCATGTATCTATGAGTAAATATTTGGAAATCGTTATATTATTGCGATAAGTACGGTGAAACCCCGAACATTTATGGCACTATACACTATATAAATATATATAGCAGGATAAAGAATATAAACAATTTAGTTTACACGGGATTAACAAACCCAAATGAAAAAAAGCGAAGAGAAAATCTGCAGAGGCGCAAACAAAAAAATAAGCAATAACGTATAATTAACGAGCCGTAGGGATTTTTGGATTTAGCTGGCAAACGATGAATTGATTAAACGATTATAACGATTATTAGTTATCGATATACAGATATATTAACAGGTAGAGTTGTTTTTTGCATATTGTTATCGCAACTTTTGTGCTGCTTGACGAGACCAATTGATGTACTTTATACAACGAAAACCAAGAAATCGAAGGAACTAATGAGAACTCATCTTATGTTTTTGCATAGGTGCATATTGTTGCGATAGATATACAAACCTATTTTGGTCGATTATACATTACACAAGCCCACACACAACGCGTACAGAAATAGTTGGAAAAAAAGAGTTACTGCGTAGAGATTAAATCATTTTAACTTGTATTTAGAGCACTCACACATACAAACACGACACAGACACACATACACAACTGTAGAATTGTAGAAAAGTAGAGTTGCAAAAAAATATTATTAAAAACAAAAGGCGAACATAAATTTAAGCTTACGATTAGAAAACAACACAGCACCTTAGTAAGCAAGCAAAAAAATAATGAATTCTGTACCTAGAAATACAACAAACACCTACACACACACACAACAGGACACCAACACACACATGAAAACATTAATTATGTATTTATTTGCATCGAGACAAACTAATCGAATATATATACAGCGATATATGCAACTATAAATATATATACACAAGGACAAAAATGCGTTTATTATGCAATATATGCGAAACATTCTACATTATTAATTACGTGCATTATGTATATGACATTCATGTACATATATGGCACCGAAACACACACATACACAAACATAAAGGTCCTGGCTTATGCTATCAATCAAGGAAAATGAAAGGAAAATCTAACAAGAAAATCCTGCCAAGCTTGATTGGAGTCTTAGATGCCAGGATCCGCCCTCGAAAGTCAATTTTACCAAATGGTCAATTTCAATTATGACTCGAAATCGTTTCATGTTTTTCAGTAGTTTTTATGCTAAGTTGTTGAAAATTGTGCAGCTAATAAAACAGACAAAAGAAAGGAAGAAATCGATAAAGAATTTATGAATGTCTTCAGTTTGATTGCGTGGTTTCGACTAGAGTGCATCAATAAAAATATATAAAACTTATATACGCATTAAACGAGTATACTATATATTTTGTACTTAATCAATTGATTTGTATAATCCCACAAAGACACAATAACACACACAAACCACAATGGCTAATCAATGCATAGTTACTAACGAGAAAAAAACGGAGCCAAGCATTCTGTAAAACATCTAACATAAACGTACATAAGTATATTATATTTTCATAACACATGACAAATTTATACATGAAAAAACCAAAATGGAGAAAGACGAGATGGAGAAAAGTGCGACGATGCAAAACAACTTGCGTAGTAAATGAGAAAACAAACATAGTAAATAAAAAAAATAAAAATCTGACAAAAAAAAGCTACAGCCGAATGCGTTTGATTTCAATTGGTGGCTTTTGGTGTGGAAAACTCTGGGGATACGGGGAAAAGGTCCTCTGTCAACGACAGACTCTGCAAATTCTATTCAATGCAGTTTCACTTGTGCGAATCATCGGAACGGAAACTAAGTATTTTCCACGAAAAAGTAATTGCAGTTACATTATTCCTTTGATCTGCCATGTTTTTTCCGGAAGTGGAATGCTAAAAATTATTGGTCGCTGATTTTGTGTTGAATTTTGAACAATTGATTTGACGAGTGCAAATGGTTTTCAATAGAAAGTGCAAATTTCATTAAAGAAATTCAAATCTAAAATAAATCTAGCAAAACAACTATAACTATATATTTAACAAAGCAACTACAAAATATTTTGTTAATCCTAATTTTTGTAACAATTTATAATCAATTTCTATAAACAAAAGTTTTGAGTTTGACCAGAAACTAATGTAGAACTATTTTTGAAATTCTGCTAAGACCACATGGCGTAAGAGTAATATCATCTTCTGTCAACACCAAGTTTCGAAAGTTATTTTTTACGATTTTAAAATAATTTTAATTCCATGTTCCTTATATAAAACTAAAGAGCAAGTTTATTTGTATTAAGAATAAATAATTGTATTGCAAGGCTGATTAGTAGTGTTGATTTCTTAGCTTTCAAAATTATTTTAATTTCTGATTCAACCGCCTTAACACTGAGATTATCTCCTATTATTTAAGCCCTTGTGATGTGACCTACATCCTCAAAAGACCACCTCAAATCAAAGTTAAATTCAACTTTAAGTACATGCCAGCGATTCCCCAGGGGAAATGTGACACGTTCGGCGTTGGATATATTCGAGAACCCCTTCCGGCAGTCAAGTTGTGTTGTCAGCTAAATAAATTCCTGGCCCAACTGTGGCTGCCATAACTGGGCGTAACTGTGAGCCAAAAACAAGAAAGTAAACAATTTTCAAGCATAAACAGCCCCATGGACCATCTAACCCCCTGGTTTCCCCACACTGTTGTTGTTTGTTGCGCATATTTTCACATATCATAAGTTTTTATGCTTATTAAAAGCCAAAAGGAAAAAATTGAGCATAATTTATATGATTTGCCTATGGGGCAATAACAAGGCAAGAGAAAAACTCTGTTTATAGGCCGATCAATGGCTCGAAGGCGAGGCTGATTCTGTTCTGCACTGGGAGAAATCAGCTGGATAATATGAATAAGCATTACCTATTACTAATTAGCAAAAGGTCTAAAAAAATTTTAAAGTATTACGCCACTAAGAAATATAATGATATAATATAATGCAAACGTAATTTCTATTTCCCATTTTCTTTCTTCTAAGTCTATTGCTCAACTAAGGTACAACTTTTTGAAACTTTCTCAGACCAAATGATGAAAATTTGAGCCACTCAAAGCTAATCAAGCTCAATTTGGTTTGGGTAACACAAAATGCGGCTTGGGAAAATTCAAGTTAGATCAGTTGGACTCTAATTTAATCAGTTTCCATTTTTTTTTCTGTGTTCCATTTTGTTTTTGGGCTGGGCCGTCGCCACGCGAGCCGAGCCGAATCCGATGGTTTTAGTAGATTGTCCTCAGACGATGGCATATTTATACGGCTTAGAGATTGCCCAGTAGCACACATACGCAGTTCGAGGAGAGATAGTTTTCCGGAGGGCTGAAGGATGAGGGGGTGGATGTGGATGGGGACGGGGATGGGATGGGTTTTGGGTGTTCTGGGGGAAGACAGAGCAGCCCTTCGGGGCGATTCCATCATAGGCGGATGGCGGATAGCGGATGGCGACAACGGAATCAAAATAACCCCGCAACAGTTCGGGAAAATAAAAAAAAAGGATGGGTACATCATGGGCAACGGAATCGTCGTGGCCGTTATCCAGCAAAACAATCAACAGCGCGCTTTTTAAGCCAAGCCAGATATATTTTCTAATGCTTTTTTTCTGTAACTTTCCGCATTCACCCTTGTTCTTCACGCTTCGAGCGCTTTATGGTCGGTTGTCCTCCTCCCGCGTCCGATGTTTTGGGGATTGGGTCTGGATATTCCAGACTCTCAGCCTGATACTTTGCTTTTCTCTACCATTATTTTGTTTTTTTTTTTTTTTGGCATTTCGCTTTTGTCGCCATGTGATGTGTCGGACCCACGAGATGTATCTCTGTGTATCCACAAGTGGGCCAGATATACTCGGCCGTTGTTGCGCGTGAATTGTCGGCTTGTTTACTATGCCCTTCAAATTATGCACTATCTCAATGGCGGCGGGGGAGCCTGAAGATTGCATTAAGATAAATTTAACTGAATCAATTTGCTTAATAGCCAATTGAAGAGCGGGCCAAAACAAAAAACGAACAACAGCAACGCGGGCTAAATGAGCGGAATGAAGAACAAAAACAAAGTGAGTGTGTCTCCAGTTTTAGTGTCATTTATTTTAACGTTGATTTCTTCCTATCCATTTATTTACATTGCATACTTCCCAGCTCCATTCGGGCTTTTCCCCACCCCATTTTCCCTCCTTTTTGGTAATGAAACGTCGTCCAGCTGGCTAATGCGACTTCTCTTACTGGGAATGAGATACAAAACAACAAGGAAACAGGGGGAAAAAACAAAAACGAGGCGAAATGGAAAAGAAAAACCAACGAAAATTTATAAATCTCCAAAGTGACGCTGAAATTACATAAGCCGCGCGTTATATAAGCCAAGGCGTGGGCGTTCACTCCGCCAATTCCTTTTTCCACAGCCCTGGTCAATTTCAATTTAGCGCCGAATACTGGACACAATTGCAGGTCTAACCCCATTAGAAAGATATGAGGTTTATTGTGGATGGTGGGGGGTGGAGGGGGTAGGGGGGCGTATCGGGGTAGGCCCTGCAAATGCCTGGCATTTAGAAGCGGATGTTCCGATTCGCATTTCGCAACGCAATGATAAACTCAGACGGTTCCGGCCAACCACCTGACCTGGCTCGAATCCAGTGCCAAGAGTTGACGCTAATACGTTCTAAAATAAGAACTAAAGCTAGGTGGGAATAATGGATTAGGTTGTGTGAAATAGTTTAGGGTGTTCCAGAATATCAAGAAAGGTGAGGTGACGTGACTTTCCTAATCCTAAGTAAAAGAAGCCAAATTGTCTTCGATTAACAAATACAAAATACACAAGAAAATGTCCTAAGAGAGTTTTGCTCTTACCACCGATCTCAAGAATTTCCTTGTTTGATTACAAAGTATTAAAAAGAAACTTTCCATTAAAATGTAAATAAATTATACTAATTTGAAATATTTTCATAGTTAAAAGCGACTTAGGTTAATGAAAAATGCATACTTTTTACCAAGAGCCAACCTTCCTACTCATCACTATTAGATATATTGCCCAGCCAGTCGAAGTTTTCGTAATTTAACGGGCGTTACGCATATGTGAGGGCGTGGGTCGGAATGGGGAAGGGCCATACTACATTGTGGTGTAGTAGTAGGTGGGAGGGGGCCTCAGAACTTGGAGGCCACCCGCCGCCAACTGATTTGCATGACAGCAAAAGGTGCGTAGGCGTGCACGCTCGGAACTTAACTGAATGGAAAGCGGATAGCGGGAAGTGGAAAAGTGGACTTATCGGCCATGGCGAATCTTTTTGGCCCGGTCGGCTCTGACTTCTCCTGCGGTGGTAATTGCTGCGAAGCGCCCATTTTTCGCACGGATCGCTTACGCACATGTCCATAAAAATGGACAGAGATGGAGATAGCACTGGCATCGGGATTCGGAATCAGAATTGAAAGTGGACGCCGCGGGGCAGCCTTTCGAAAAATGGAGTGGACTGGTACTTCGCGGTGTTGTGGCGTTGAACGTTTTGCGTTTTGCGTTTTGCGTTTTGCGTTTTTCGACCTGGGCAACTAATTATGGGGCGCGTAGCGGATTTTAATTATCGCCCACCGTGTGCGGCTCTGCTAAGCTGTTGCCGCTTTCTGGGCCCGGTTCCATCCTGTTCCTGTCCTGTCAGTCAGTTAGTCAGTGGGCCCCATCCTGTTCCGAACAGTTCCGATACGACACTCGGAAAAACATAAATTGGAAATGATCTTTCAATATGAGTGTTAGCAAGAAATATGAAGCACAAGGAAAAAAATAATGTTCAATATATTAACTCTATTAAAAATGTACTTAAATCTGATAATCTTAACGGTATTTAAATATAATAAATATAATAAAATAACTATCAATCATCTTTAGACATTTAATATTACATTTTTGAAACCTACAATTCTCTGGGCAACATGTCTATATGTATTGATTAATATACAACCCTTGGCCGTATGTTTAAAAAATCAAATTTATTTATAAACTAGGAATGTAATTAATGTTTTAATTCATTTGAGTTGCTCGATTTTATTTTGTTATTTTCTTGTTACCAAATTAGAGTTCACATTTTGTGCAGTCTATTACGGTAACAAACTGTTGTTTTAAGTGCGTGTATTTTTAGAAAAAATTAGTTTTAGAGTGTAGGCACGCCCAGAGCGACAGTTACAAACAGCCGGGCGGTGATGGGCCCACGTTGATGGGCTATGGCTATATGGCTATATGGCTATATGGCGATGGCGGCAATCGATTGATTGTGGCCAAACACGCAGTGCCGGAGTTGGCCAGGATAAATCAAGCCCCTGACATTTTGCTGGCTAGGCTGGCGTGCGTGAGTTTCGTTAATGCACAAACGGAACCGAGAGAGCAGGCACAGAAAATAGAGCCAGAAACAGAGGCAGAACCAAACACCAAACACAGAAGCAGAAACAGAAACCCAAACGATTCGGCAACAGGGCCCGCTATACTATACTTTTTTTTTTTTTTTTTTTTTTTTTTTTTTTTTTTTTTTTTTTTTTTTTTTTTTTTTTTTTTTTTTTTTTTTTTTTTTTTTTTTTTTTTTTTTTTTTTTTTTTTTTTTTTTTTTTTTTTTTTTTTTTTTTTTTTTTTTTTTTTTTTTTTTTTTTTTTTTTTTTTTTTTTTTTTTTTTTTTTTT